GCTCCACTGCTTTGACCTTGGACAAACCTGGCGCTTTTCTCTGCCCCTGCTCCTGGGCTGTGGAGCAGCATACTGAGATAAGGTTTCTAAAGTACCTGTCCTTCCTTCAACAAATAGTAGCAGGTAGGATTATCTAGAGGGATTATTAAACTAGGGTGAGGAGGAAAAAGCAAGATTAGGTTTGTAAAAATTAAACTGATTTAAGAAACCAGGAAGTGACGGGCATTATGGAGGAAGGGAAAAGAAGACATGAAAAAAGGACAAAACCAAGGTTTTTTTGTTTGCTTGAGTTGGAATCTCACTCTTGTTCCCCAGGCAACAGTGTGGTGGCATGCTCACAGCCACCTCAGCCACCTGCTGGGTTTAGGTGATCCTGCCTCAGCCTTCCAAGTAACTGGAACTATAGACACAACATCACGCCCGCCTAGTTTTTGTGATTTATTGTAGAGATGAGGTCTCACCAAGTTGCCCAGGCTGGTCTCCTACCCTCAGGCTCGGGTAGTCCTCTCACTTCGACCTCCCAAAGTGCTGGGATTACAAACTGAGCCACCGCTCCCGGCCTAAGAATCAGGTTTAATGAAAGAACGTTTTTGATAGTAGATTGCAGGTGAACAGTAACTTATAAATCTGTTCTGTAGGGCATCTCCTTCATTAAAACTTATTTTCTCCATGTCAACAAAGCCATTTATGATTTTTTTTTTTTGATTCATGCAGTATAACAATGCTTGTTAAGTGTACCCTTCTTGACTTCTCCATTTGGTACACACAGATCAAGGTGGTCATGACAGTAGTTACGATGTATTATTTTCTCTGGAATCTGTGGGTAAAATTTGTTAACTCTAGAAAACGCGGGTCCTGACATCTGTCTCCATGGCTGTTGTTTTCACTCAACATTTGCTAGAATTGCAGCTGGACATGGTCATTAACTGATCCTGCAGGGTACAGAGTGCAGTTTATATTAAAGTGAAGGTTAGGCTGGGCACGGTGGCTCAAGCCTATAATCCCAGCACTTTGGGAGGCTGAGGTGAGAGGTTTGCCTGTGTTCACAGGTTCGAAACCAACCCGGGCAACTTAGCAAGACTGCATCTGTACAATAAATCAAAAATAAAAAAACTACTTGAAAGGCTGAGATTGGAAGGATCTCCTGAGCCCAGCTGGTAGAGGTTGCGGTGGCCGTGAGCATGCCACTGCACTCCAGCCTGGGTGACAGAGACTCCAACTCAAAAAAAAAGTGAAGGCTAGAGTCGGCCAAGATCAGAACAAGAATTTCCAGAGCTCAGTTTCTTTCTATATCTGTAGCATTCGTATTAACAGCAAAAAAACTTGGCAGGGCAAAATGGATGGCTCATGCCTGTAATCTCAACACTTTGGGAGGCCGAGGCAAGAGGATCACTTGAGGGAGTTCGAGACCAGTCTGGGCAACATAGTGAGACCCTGTCTCTACCAAAAATGTAAAAATTGAGCTAAGTGGGGTGGCATGGGCCTTTAGTCCTAGCTACTTGGAAGCCTGAGGTGGAAGGATTGCTTGAGCCCAGGAGTTTGTGGTTACACTGAATTATGATCATGCCACTGTACTCCAGCCTGGGCAATGGAGCAAGATCCCATCTCTCTCTCTCTCTCTCTCTCTCTCTCTCTCTCTCTCTCTCTTTTTTGAGACAGGGTCTCACTCTTTCACCCAGACTGGAGTACAGTGGCACGATCATGGTTCACCACAGCCTCCAACTTCTGGGCTCAGGCGATTCTTCACCATCAGCCTCCTAAGTGGCTGGGACTACAAACACACACCACCACACCTGGCTAATTTTTTGCGTTTTTGTAGAGATGAAGTCTCACTATGTTGCCTAGGCTGGTCTTGAGCTCCCGGGCTCAAGCAGTCCTCCCTCCTTGGCCTCCCAAAGTGCTGGGATTACAGGCATGAGCCATCATGCATGGCCGAGACCACGTCTCTAAAAAATAAAATAAAGTTTTAAAAATACTTAGAAAACGTCCCTCACTGAGATTGCCAAATCTTTTGAGACCAAATGTGATTTTTTTTTTTTAAGAGATGAGATCTCAATATGTTGCCCAGGCTGGAGGAGTGCAATACCCTTTCTATGTCCTGGAACTCCTCAGCTCGAGAAATCTTCCTGCCCCAGACTCACAAGTACCTGGGTCTCTAGGCATGTATCACCGTGCCTAGCCTGAATGTTATTTTAAACAGATTTTCCTGAGCAGCTACTTAATACTAGTTAGCTATTCCTAAGTCTGTAGATCTTGACTAAGCTGAGGGCAGTATTTGAGAAATACAAACTCACATCTTAAATTACATCAGCTAAGAAGAATTGTGAAGCTATTTCTTTGAGTATAAAAAAATGAAGACTTAAAGACTCAATCAAGCATACATCTTCGTGTTTTCAACCTCAGGGAATTGAGACAGTTTGGTGGTCAGCCATAGTGTAACTGGTTAAGAGATAAGGTGATGAAAGTTATCAGAAGCCAGTAGATCCTGGACAACCTGAAAAGTGTAAGTCGTGAAATCCCAGTACTGTCTCACTGAGCAGCGTGAAATCCCAGTACTGTCTCACTGAGCAGCGTGGGGAGTAGGAAGTGCCTGGTTTGGTGCCCTGGGCAATAGAGTGAAAGCCTGTCTCACCTAGGGCAAGGTCAAACCAAAGAGCTTTCTCAGCTGCGGTGTAGTGGGAAGGACCAGTTAAGGAAGCGGCTTTTGGCTCTCAAACTTTAGTGTAAAAGTCACCTTGTTAAAAATGCAGATTGTCAGCCGGGCTCGGTGGCTCAGCCTGTAATCCTGCCCCTTTGGGAGGCTGAGGTGAGTGGATTGCCTGAGCCCATGGGTTCGAGACCCGCCTGGGCAGCGAGACCTCATCTCCATAATAAATAAAAAATCAGCTGAGCGTAGTAGCGCATGCCTGTAATTCTGGCTACTTGGAAGGCTGAGGTGGAAGGATCACCGGAACCCAGCAGGTCGAGGTTGCGTGGCCGGGAGCGGCCGCTGCACTCCAGTCTGGGCGACAGAGTGAGACTCCAACTCAAAAAAAAAAAAAAAAATGCAGATTGTCACCCCCTTCTTCCAAGATTCAGATTCCTTCTCAGTTAGGATCCAGGAATCAGTATTTTAACATCCACCCCAGGAATTATGGCGCACAAGCCTGAAAAAAACTGACGGAGGGGCTTTTAGGCAGAAGGTTGCCTTAGTGGGGCCTTGGTTGGGTCTGACTGCTTGCGTAAATTCCAGGAGGAGTCTGCTAAAGTGACTGGCTAAAGGGGACTTGAACTGAATTCCCCATTATATATATTTTTTTTTTCAGGGAGAAGTGAGGTTAGAACAATCAGGTGGTGGGAGAGGAGATTGAGAGGGGGATACCACCCTCTTGGCCAGGAGATGATGAGTAGGCGGCCATGCTTTGGGGCTATTCTTCCTCAACCAAAGGGTGCCTCTTGCTATTTTGTTAACACTTCTGTTTATTCATCAATTTTTCTTTCCCCTGTAAGCTGCTGAGTTTGTCAGGTAAAAGCAGACTTGTGAGTGGATGGGCTTACGGTAGAAGATGTTACATTTGTTGCACTATCCAATACACAAGCAGCTGTCCACAAGTGGCTGTTTAAATTTGAGCTGGGCACAGTGGCTCACGCCTATAATCAGCACTTTGGAGGTGGAGATGAGAGGATTGCCTGAGCTTAGGGGTTAGAGACCAGCCTGGGCAACATGAAGAGACCTCGTCTCTACAATAAATAAAAAAATTAGCCAGGCATGGTGTGCACCCGTGGTTCCAGCTACTTGGAAGGCTGAGGCGGAAGGATCGGCTGAGCCCAGCAGGTCGAGGCTGCGATGGCTAGGAGCATGCCACTGCATTCCAGCCTGGACAACAGAGTGAGACTCCAACTCAAAAAAATAAAAATAAAACATAAATTTAAAGTAAATGAAAACAGATGCGCTAAACATTGAGTTTCCCAGTTGCATAGCTGTATTTCAAGTGCTCAATAGACACATACGGCCAGTGGCTACCATATAAGACAGTGCAGATACAGAACAATTCTGTTATCACAGAAAGTTCTATCACATGCCACTGCTTTGGAGTAGAGAGGAATTCAGTGAAAGACTGTCTGGGGAGTGGGGAAGCCGATTGACAGTAGGGAGCAGAGAGTTCCCATTATAGGGTTATAAGTGCAGGTATGTCAGTCAGGAGATTCATAGTCTGAGCCTTCAGGCTGGATGCTGTGGCTTCATGCCTGTAATCCCAGTAATTTGGGAGGCCAAGATGGGAAGATTGCTTGAGCCCAAGAATTTGAGACCAGCCTAGGCAACATAGCAAGACCTTGTCTCTACAAAAATAAAAAAATAAGCCAGGTATGTTGGTGCATACCTATGGTCCCAGGTACTCAGGAGGTTAAGGTGTGAGGATCACTTGAGCCCAGTGGGTTGAGGTCACTGCATCCATTGAGACCCTGACTGAAAAAACAAAACAAAACAAAAAAATGTGAACCTTTGCCCGTCCTTTCCTCCACCCAAACTGCTGCCTCTTTCAGGTAGTAGGTAATCCAGCACTAACCATGAACTGTGTTTCAGTTCTCCCCTAGGACTCAATTCCTCCTCTGTTTGAGAAATGATTTTTGCAAAAATATTTTCTGTTTGATATAACAGAGTTATTTCATATTTCACTCAAACTCCATAATCACAGAACTGTGTTACTCTAGATATAATTTTTCAGTGAATACATTTGTATAAGATTTTCTCCATTTCTGTTTATATGAGTATTTGTTATTTTGCAGGTAAGAGTTGGGGTGAGAAAGCCCTGAGATGTTCATTTATAGTACTTTGATTAGTAAGCAGTCTTCCTTCATATTCCCTTATCCCTTCTCTTCATATACTTTGGCTTTTATCCTAACCTAAATAGAAGAGTCTAGCGTTTGGGAGTCACAGGAGGAATGGGAATTCCTGCAGTGGTTTACTATCCTAAGTTGAAAAATGAATTAACAAAAATCAACTTTTTTTAATAGGCGAACAAAACATGACAGAAACAGATGCCTTCTATAAAAGGTAATAATGTGCTCTTTTCTAAGAAAGGTCTCTTCCTTTGTTGGTTGTGATCAGCGTATAGAAATGAAAGCACGAGGACATCCTGGAAGCTAGAGAGCAGAGCTGAGTATGCCAAGTTTTAGCATCTGGCGAGTTGATTTGCAGCTAGGCAGATTAGTTGCGGCCCCTGGTTGTCAAAAGGATCTGGAGTGAGGTTCAAAATAGATCATAATTGGTATGACATGAGCCTAGAGTTGGACTGGGCTCTCAGCCAGGCTGTCCTTGGTGGCTGGATCCTGGGGACCAGGGGAAAGACATTGGCAGAGGGTTAGGGGTGGGTGCTCAGGATGGAGCATGGCTGCTGCCTACCAATTGGCGTGGCCTTTCCCAGAGCACTAGGGGAATTTCAGCTTGGCAAGGGAGGAAGTAGCCGATGTCCATCTTTATCAGATCTCTGTCATTGCCCTTGAGCTTGGAGGAGCTCCATTATTTAATGAGACTTGAAGTGATTGTTTTTGAACTTTTCATTAACAGTGAAATGTTTGATCCATCAGAAAAGTACAAAATGGACCACAAGAAGAGAGGAATTGCTTTAATCTTCAATCATGAGAGGTTCTTCTGGCACTTAACACTGCCAGAAAGGCGGGGCACCAGTGCAGACCGAGACAATCTGACTCGCAGGTAGTAGTTTTATCTGTGTCAAGATGAGACACTTAAGTGTTAACAAAATTACTTATGTAACTTGTCACACTGATAACAGATAAGAGTGTTTGAGGATGGGCCTCACTGACTGAATGATCTTGCTTACTCTGTTCTATTAAATGTTAACCGGCATTGTTACTCACATATTTGCATAGTAGACAGCAATGTTCTAAATGGAATTGGCTTTCATTTTGATGAAATCTTTTCCTACCATGGGTGAATCAAGGGAAAACCATCATGTCATATTTGATCTTTTTTATTTTCCCCTAAAGTAAGTTTATATGTCATTAAAACGTGTATAGGTTCCTCAAAAGTGAGAATATTCAACAACTTTGAAAAACTTGAAAGTTAACATTCCATTTAATTTATCACCAGGTTTTCAGCTCTAGGATTTGAAGTGAAATGCTTTAATGATCTGAGAGCAGAAGAACTACTGCTCAAAATTCATGAGGGTAAGCAGTTTTGTTTATTTATTTATTTATTTATTTTTATTTTTTGGGGTCGGAGTCTGTCACCCAGGTGGAGTGCAGTGTCACACTTACGGCCACTGCAGCCTTGATCTGCTGGGTTCAGGTGATCCTTCCACCTCAGCCTTCCAAATAGCTGGAACCACAGGCATGCGCCACCACGTCCAGCTAATTTTTTGATTTATTGTAGAGACGAGGTCTTACCAAGTTGCCCAGGCTGGTCGAACCCCTGAGCTCAGGCAATCCTTTCACCTCCGCCTCCCAAAGTCCTGGTATTACAAGCGCGAGCCACCACACATGGCCTAGTAGTTTTGCTGTTATATGGTTCATCTTCCTCTGATGGGATTGAGTTCTTTGTCTTATCTATAAAGATAGGCACACATCATTGCTTGTGACACAAAAGTATTATTAATTTAGCGTGGGTTGTAGGTTTGAGAGATGCCTCCTGTTCATGTTAGCCATGAGATTTAGAGACCCTTGCAAAATATAATGGCGCCAAAGTTTCTATTTAGCATACTACTGGTTACAGTCTGTTACTCTAGAAATGAAATGACCTCTCTATTTGGTGGTAAAAGTCTAAAATGCAAATACTACAGATACTGGGAAGTCAGCAGGCTCCTTTTTTTTAAGTTGGAGTCTCACTCTGTTGCTCAGGCTGGAGGACAGTGGCATGCTCACAGCCACAGCAGCCCAACTTGTTGGGCTCAGATGATCCTTCTGACTCAGCCTTCCAAGTAGCTGGAACTACAGGCATGCACCGCTGTGCCCGGGTAATTTTTTTTATTTATTGTAGAGAGGCGGTCTCGCCAAGTTGCCCGGGCTGGTGTTGAACACTTGGGCTCAGGCAATCCTCTCGCCTCTGCCTTCCAAAGTGCTGAATTACAGGTGTGAGCCAATGTGCCCGGCTAACAAGCTCATTTTTTAATTGACTCTTTTTTTTGAGTCGGAGTCTCACTCTGTCACTCAGACTGGCCACTCCCGGCCACCGCAGCCTCGACCAGCTGGGCTCTGGCGATCCTTCCGCCTCAGCCTTCCAAGTAGCTGGAACTACAGGCGCGCGTTACCACACCCAGCTAATTTTTTAAAATTTATTGTAGAGATGAGGTCTCAACAAGTTGCCCAGGTGGGTCTCGAACACACAGGCTCAGGCAATCCACTCACCTCAGCCTCCCAATGTGCTGGGATTACAGGCTGAGCCACCAGGCCTGGCGACTCTTTTCATACCTAGTGTTCTCACTGGTTTCATAATAGTGTTGATTTACATACATTGTCTCCTTTAACTTTCACAACATCTCTAAGCAGTAGGTATTCTAATTATAATACAACTTATAATCATCACTGCATGCCAGGGGTTTTCACATCACTTGCCAATTTGCTATTATGATTTTTACATAATTATTTTTTACTTTCTTCAGAGCTCTTTAAACTTCACATCATTTTAATTTTTTTTTTTTTTTTTTGAGTTGGAGCATTACTTTGTTGCCCAGCCTGAAGTGGGCTTGAGCACAATGATCATGTTTCACGGCAGCCTCAACCTTCTAGGCTTAGGCGATCCTTCCACCTTGGCATCCTGAGTAGCTGGGACTGTAGGTTTGCATCACCACACCCAGCTAATTTTTTGATTTTTTGTTAGAGGAGGTTGAGCTATGTTCCCTGGGTTGGTCTCAAACTCTGGGCTCAAGCTATCTACTTACCTTGGGCTCCCAAAGTGCTGAGATTACAGGCGTGAGCCACTGCACCCGGCCACATCATTTTAATTTTCACTGGCTGCTGACCAGGTTTCTGCTTTGCTCATAAGCTTTGGAAGACATTAGTCTCGTGTCTGAATACACTTTTGGAAGCTCTAATTGCTGTAGACTTATAGTGAAGGTGCGGCCTTCATTGGAGGAGCAGGAACCCATGGGGAGTTTTGAGTAGCACTTTCTGGGTCTTTCTAGTCTACTTTGTATACTTTGAGGAGGTCTTTGCTGACTCAGAGAAACTTTTATTTGTTTATTTGTTTTGAGTTGGAGTCTCACTCTTGCCTAGGCTGGAGGGCAGTGGCACACTCACAGCCACCCCAGTGTTGACCTGCTGGGCTCTGGCGATCCTTCCGCCTCAGCCTTCCAAGTAGCCAGAATCACAGGCATGTGCTACCATGCCCAGCTAATTTTTGATTTATTGTAGAGTCGAGGTCTCACCAAGTTGCCTGGGCTGGTCTCGAACCCTTGGGCTCAGTCATTCCATTCGCCTCGGCCTTCCAAAGTGCTGGGATTATAGGCTGAGCCACTGAGCCTGGCTGAAACTTTTAATTTTTTGCCAAAGAAACTTAGATCTTAAAGTAGGTGCCCCATCATAATCCCTTCATGTTTTCCACGTCATTCTGTGTTTAAGAAAAGCTAATGAAATTTAGTCAAACTCTTTGAACTTTATTAAATTTAGAATTTAAAAAAATCAGATACAGTATTGTGTACATTATTCTGTTTGGCTAAGGCTAAATAGTTTCATTATGGATATTTTATATTGAATCAAAAATAACACATTTTCCTCCTCCCCCAATCATATGAATGTAACTTTATTCTAGTATTTGTAAACGGACTTTTTATATGTAGATAACAAGCATCTTATTTTCATTTCTATGTGCATCTTTGGGGGGGCCTTTACAGTGTCAACCTCTAGCCACGCAGATGCCGATTGCTTTTTGTGTATCTTCCTGAGCCATGGTGAAGGCAATCACATTTATGCATATGATGCCAAAATTGAAATTCAGACATTAACTGGCTTGTTCAAAGGAGACAAGTGCCAGAGCCTGGTTGGAAAACCCAAGATATTTATCATTCAGGTAAGGCTGATTATAGTATCATCTTACTTATAAAGTCCATGGTTCTGTACAAGTGATAAAGGTCTAAAAGCCGATTTCAAAATAACTTTCTTCAGTAATTGGAAAGGCCCTTGTTGAATCCTGGCCAATCGGAATTGCATTTTGACTTATTAGTAGTAATTCTTTCTTGACACCCTCGGTATCTTTATTTTTTGAAAAAACCCAGTATTTGGATTGACTTTTGAAGGGACTCACAAAATAACCAAGGTGCTGCTCCCTGGCTGAACCTGGTGTCAGAATAGAGTCACTGGAGAGGTATCTGCTGACTTCAGAGTGTCAAGCAAACCAGCTTCATCAGAGAAAGGCTGCTTCTTGCGAGCTGTATGTATGGGAGCCAATGGAAAGATTGGAGGAATAAAGATTTCCGGTCCTAGCCTGCCTCAGTTCTCTCACATTTCCCCTTAAAACAAGCATGTTCCCCCATGCCAAATTGGTTTTAGGGATAAAAGTAGCTTTTGGTGTGAATAATGTGACTTGACACATCAGTAAGGACTTTGCAAGAAAGAGAAACCTGACGTTCCGGTGCTGCCATTCTATATTTCCATGAGCGGTGTGGAGGATTCGTGATAACAGGAAACCACATTTCATATCATGCCATATAGCCTTGGCCAGGAGGTGGATCTGAGAAAAGAAGTCAAGGATGACCACCTGGTTTCTGGTTTGGACAACGGCATTGGAATGTCTGCAGGACGTGGAGTTGGGATACAAGTCTGGAACCCAAGACAGGTGGCCTTGGCTGGAGCAATAAATCTGGGAGTGATCAGGGGTGGTTGGTGATGAGAGCCAGGCCGTAGATGAGTTTACCCATGTTGACGATAACCTGAAAGATAAGTGTAAAACAAAACTCCAATGAGGAGTGAACTGGGGAGAAAAGACACTGAGGAGGATGACATGATTGTGTCATGAAAAAGGGGGTGGCCAATACTGTCAAACACAAGAGAATTGGAAAGAACAGCCACTGTGGGAGGTGTGACATTAGGCTCTATGTTATGCTGTAGATAACAGTTTTTATCCAGTGTTCCTGGCCCTAACCCCCATAGCCCTTGTCAGTCTTTTGTTACATTTTGGGGTGTGTTAGGCCTCAGGGGCAATGAAATTTCTCCTTTCACCACCCCAAGGCAGGACTCTGATCTTTCCCATAGTCTTAACACTCTCCCAAGAGAGAGTCCTACACTATACACCGGGGGACGGAATGCTGATGTCATGAAACTTCCATAAAAACCTGAGAACTGGGTTCCAGAAACTTTTGGATAGTTGAACTCCTGGAGGGTCCTGGAGGGTGGTGCCCAGGGAGGGTATGGAAGCTCCGAGCACCTTCCCCATACCTCATCCTCACCTCTCTTCATCTGTGTCCTTTGCATTATTCTTTATAATAAACCGGCAAATGTCAGTAAGCATTTCCCTGAGTCCTTTGCACCTCTCCAGCAAATTAATAGAATGCAAAGAAGGGGTTATGGGAACCCCAACTTGATGCCAGTTGGTAAGAAGTTCCAGATGCCAAGATTTGTGATTGGTCAGTCGTGGGGACGGAGCCCTCTCCCCTGGGACCTGACACTATCTCCAGGTGAAGAGTGTCATCATGGAATTGGAGGACATCCAGTCAGTGTTTGTACTTGGTGTGTGAGGAAAAAAAACCCCAAAATTTTGGTTACAGAAGTCTCTCCTGCGTTGATGATTATTGTGCTGTAGAGTAGAGGGAAAAACATGGTTTGGGAGTTTTTCCCAAAACAGGAAGATTAGCCACAAAGGACAGAAGCGTTTTGCCAAATTACTTTATGTCTCAGAATCTTTTTCTTTTTTTGAGTCGGAGTCTCACTCTGTCGCCCAGACTGGAGTGCAGTGGCCGCTCCCAGCCACCGCAGCCTCGACCTGCTGGGCTCTGGTGATCCTTCCGCCTCAGCCTTCCAAGTAGCTGGAACTACAGGCGCGTGCTACCACACCCGGCTAATTTTTGATTTATTGTAGAGATGAGGTCTCGCCAAGTTGCCCAGGCGGGTCTCGAACCCACGGGCTCAGGCAATCCACTCACCTCAGCCTCCCAGGGCGCAGGATTACAGGCTGAGCCACCGAGCCAGCTTATGTCTCAGATTCTTATCTATGAAACAGGAGTGATAAATAGCAGCTGCCTCATGGGATTGTTGTGAGGACAAGGCGACATGGCCTAATGATGAAAAGCACTTAGAACAGCAGTGGGGATATGGCAAGCCCTAGGTAAAGGCAAGCTATTACTCACTGCAAATGGATTGGCAGGCGAGTCCATGTTACAGGTGTTCTCTATTATGTTTAGGAAGTATAGTAGAAAATAAGTTCTGAAAATAAGCCTGATAATACTAGGATTAAAACCTCCCTGTAAAAATTGTATATTAGGGATCTTCTATTTATTAGATAACTTTGAAGTCACTTAGGACTTTGTTTCTTTTGATGTTCATAATGTTTTAATTAACTGTTTTAGAACCGATGGCTGCATTTATAATGCCACAACCGATTCTTGTTAGGTCACTTGTATTAGTTTACGGAGTTGCCATAACAAAGTACCACACACCAGGTGGTTTAAACAGCAGAAATATATTTTCTTGCAGTTCTGGAGGCTGAAAGTCTATCAGGTGTTGGCAGGGTTTGTTTCTTCTGAGGCCTCTCTCCTTGGCTTGTAGGTGGTCATCTTGTCCCTGCACCACCATAAGAATCTTTCCTCCATGTAAGTCTGTGTTCTGATCTCTTCCTACAAAGACACCAGTCCTGTTTGATTAGGGCCCATCCATGCCCATCATTTTATCTTAATCACCTCTTTAGAGGCCCTATATACAAATACATTTCAACATAAGAATTGTGAGAGTTCACTTTAAAGTGGGTACAGAAGGAGGAAGGTGCTGCATTAATAGATATTTTATAGTCAAGTTAGGTATTCACATTTTGACTAAAGTCTATGGCTGCAGCCAGACAAGGAAAGCCCACCTGGAAATGCACTGCCTGGTTAAATTGAAACCTTTAGCCAAATACTATAGCTTTTAAAAGAGAAGGTGATTCTTGGTGCTATGGGTAATTTAATCTGTAGGAAATTTTAAAACCGTAAGCTTTTTCCTCCACTACAAAATACCTTTCAACAAACATAATTTGTAGTTGGGAATGCCAATTTTTAAAAACGTGTACTGAAAGAAAACCTAAGTAGGGAAACAACATTGTTGGGTTTTGTCCCTCTAAACCTGAATGTATTGCTTTTGAATTGAGGATAATGTGACTTCTGTTGTTATTGATAGAAAGGTATACTGACTTATACATTCACTGTAAATATTAAGCATTATTTAGCAGGCAAAGCAGATGATTTTTCCTTGTCTTGTAGGCATGTCGGGGAAACAAGCATGATGTACCAGTCATTCCTTTGGATGTAGTGGATCATCAGACAGATACCAACATGACCGAGGTGGATGCTGCTTCAGTTTACACACTGCCTGCTGGAGCAGACTTCCTCATGTGTTACTCTGTTGCAGAAGGTGTGTTGGCATTTAGTATAATCATGTAATTGGCTATTTTGGCCAAGTCACTGGAAGTTTCACTTTTGATTGGGTCTGTTGGGATTTGATGATTTGATCCTAAAGTTCACAGACTTAGGATTTTTTTGACATGTTCCCACTCATAATCGAACCCTGAACATTTATCATAATACTATAAGAAAGGAATTATCAGTAGTGGGATACTGTCGGTGGGTCGGGGTGGGGGGTACACAACATCAGTAAGGGTACCTGATCTCAAACCAGGCAAAGTGGGGACCAAAGGGAGGCCCAAACTTTACCTGTACAATGACCACTTGTATCCCTAATCTTGAATTGTACCCCACATCTTTAAAATAAAAAATAAAATATTTTTTAAAAAGATTTTTTTATCACATGTTACAGAGATAAATGGCAGTATAAAATACTATATAAGAAAAAAATCATTTTTGAGAGCTCTGTTGCCACTGCAGCTTCAACATGCTGGGCTCAGATGATCCTACTGCTTCAGCCTTCGAAGTAGCTGGAACCACAGTCATGCGCCACCATGCCCAGCTAATTTTTTGATTTATTGTAGAGATGAGGGCTTACCATATTGCTCAGTCTGGTCTTGAACCCTATTGCCCAGGCAATCCTCTTGCTTCCACCTCCCAAAGTGCTGGGATTACAGGCATGAGCCACTGTGCCCAGCCAGGAAAATATTTTGATAACAGTTGTTCTTTGCTTTTACATTTTCTTTTACTTCTTTGTAATAATCTCATGTTTTTCAAAATCATTTTATTAAATCATGTTTTTCAAAACAGCTACCATCTTGGGAATTTTTTAGGAAATGGAGGAAATTATATAGAGTTAACCCCATTTATATATAAAATTAGAGATTTAATCTTTATTCCCACTTGAAAAAATTGACAGCAAAATTTTATTTATTTATTTTTTGACTTTGGAAATATTCTTTGTTTTGTTTTAAAGATGCGAAGTACAATTCAGGTACCTGTTGATTATGCAGGTACCCTTGTTGATGAGGTGCGCCCCTCCCTCCCCTGACAGTTTCCTACTACTACCAATCCCTTTCTTACAGTATTATAATTGTTCAAGGTTCGTTTATGAGTGAGAACATATGGTACTGTTCTTTGTTTCTGTGATTGATCACTGAGTGTGATTGACTCTAAATTCATTCAAGTTGCTGCGAAGTCCCTATGTTTGTCCTTTATGGACAGCAAAATTTTAAAACCATATCACGGACACATCTTAATCTGTTCCAAGGATTTGAGAACTTGAATACTTCTGTAAGTATAAATTATAAGAATATTTTTCAATCACAGTAACTGAAAGCCAGAAACTGACAGCAACTTCCTCCTCCTCTTTTTTAGGGTATTATTCTCACCGGGAAACTGTGAACGGTTCATGGTACATTCAAGATTTGTGTGAGATGTTGGGAAAATATGGCTCCTCCTTAGAGTTCACAGAACTCCTAACGCTGGTGAACAGGAAGGTTTCTCAGCGCCGAGTGGACTTTTGCAAAGATCCAAGTGCAATTGGAAAGAAGCAGGTTCCCTGCTTTGCCTCAATGCTGACTAAAAAGCTGCATTTCTTTCCAAAATCGAATTAATCAGGGCTGTTTTATCTTATGATCTGTATTCAAAATATTTTCCCCTTCTTTTTACATAAATAGGTATCACTGCATTGGAGCGTGTGGTCCACCACTTTAAAATGTCCTAATGTTTAATGTGTGGCAGAGAACCATCTTTTTAAAAAAATAGTTCATGTTGGACATGGTAAAAGGGTTTTATATGTAGAAACTAAATCCTTGGGGAATTACTATAAAAACAAATCCACAGGCATTTCTAATACTTGATTTTTTTTTAAGTAAACTGCAAAGTTATCCAACATATCTGACTGATTTAACTTGTATTTTGTCATTTTTTAATAAAAATTAGTTATATAGTGTTTTTTAAGGTTTTGAAACCCAAGAATTAGATCATTGCTATCTGTTTATAAAATACTTGCAATTCATGTTTTATTAAATTTTTCTAATTCACACTCTTATTTTACTTGGTCATCTAAATGTTTACTATTTCATCTATATATAAATGACCACATTTTGTATATTTGACTTCTGTTTAAAAAAAAAAAAAACAACCTTCAAGAACTACTACATAGCACTCTGAGGATTAAATATGAAACATAATAATTCTTAGCCACTAGGAGCTGAAAAATCTGATTCTATCCTATCTCCTACGTTAAGTTCCCATACACTGTCCAACAGTCACCAGACCATTCACAGACTATCACATTAATAGAATAATAAATACATGTTATGGCTATGGCTCAAACCTATAATCTAGACACTTTGAGAGGACAAGGCAAGAGGATTGCCTGAGCCCAGGAGCTCGAGATCAGCTTGAGCAACATGGAGAGACTGTGTCTTTACAATAAATAAAAAAATTAGCCAGGCATGGTGGCATGTGCCTGTAGTCCCAGCTACTTGGAAGGCTGAGGTGGAAGGATCACCTCAGCCTAGCAGGTCAAGGCTACAGTAGTAGATCGATCTTGCCACAGTCCTCCAGCCTGAACAACAGAGACTCTGACTCAAAAAATACATACATAGATATATACATACATGTATGCTACTTTCAAGGTTCAATTTTTTTTTCTCTTTGTTACAGGGTCTCATTCTGTCACCCAGGCTGGAGTCTAGGAGCTGCTCACTGCCTCGACCTCCTGGGCTCAAGCAATCCTCCCACCTCAACCTTCTGAGTAGCTGGGAGTATAGTACATACCCCACCACACATGGCTAATTTTTATGTTTTTCATAGAGACAAGGTCTCACTACGTTACCTAGGCTGGTCTCTAACTCCTGGGCTCAGACAATTCTCCCACCTTAGCCTCCCAAAGTGTGAGCCACTGTGCTCAGCCTAAGGTTCAATTCTTATGAATATGATATATGATATTTGAGTAATACTGTTTAGTTAATAACCTGTCAGAGGCTAAAGAAGGTTAAGTGTTTAGGCTTTGATACCTAAAACTTATGAGTTACTGATTCAAAAACAATAGTTCTCATATATTGTTTTAATTCCAATCCAAAAAGTGCCTACTAAGCTGGGCATGGTAGCTCACACCTATAATCCCAGCACTTCGGGAGGTGGTGGTGAGAGGATTGCCTGAGCTCCGCAGGTTCGAGACCAGCCTGGGCAATAGCGAGCCTTTGTCTCTACACTAAATAAAAAAATTAGCTGAGGGGTGGTGGTGCATGCTTGAGGTGGTGCACTCAGTGACTTAAAAGGCTGAGGTGGAAAGATTGCCTGAGCCCAGCAGGTCGAGGCTTTGGTGGCTGTGAGCAGTGTGCCACTGCATTCCAGCCTGGGTGACAGAGTAAGACCCCGGCTCAAAAACCAAAAAGCACCTAATATACTTCTGGTTAGTGGGACATTTATACCTTTTTCATAAATGATAAAGACCTCACATCTAAGTACTGCATATTACAAAAAGAAAATTAACGGGCTGGATACAGTGGATCACGCCTGTAATCCCAGCACTTTGGGAGGCCGAAAAGATTGCCTGAGGCCAGGAGTTTGAGACTAGCTTGGGCAACAGAGTGAGACCTTCTCACCCCCCAAAAAAGATGATTTCAGATTAAACCTAGGAGTAAAAATGAAGGCCAACTGCACGGACCCTTTCACCTACATATGAAGAATAAACAGGAAGGGCTGACAAGGATGTTTAAATAACAGCAGCAGCTGCTGTTTGATGGATGCATATAAGCCCTAACATTTACAAGTCATAAAAACCCAAAAACTAAAGATCTCAAGGAAAACTTCATAGAATACTTCTGTTTTACAAGACTTTATTAACAAAACAATTGAAGAGTCAAATTGAAATGAACTATGGGACTCGAAAACGTCGTTTCTAGGTTGTAAAATGAACACATAATGGAAACATCCTATGATGTTTAAAACATAAGATTAATTCTTTCCACTGAGTTCTTCTACTTGGATTCGCAAAGAGAGAGAACAGCGTGCCTGCTCCAGGGATGCTGTAACCTGTGGTGGGAAAAAGCAAAAGCATCAGAACTACTGCTTGAGGGGAATTCCATACACTTAATGTCTCCCTAGGGCAATGAAATATACTAGTAGTGGCAAATGTCAATAATATTTCAATTTTATACTAATGAATTTAAGGTTTCTAATTTATCCCTATGCTTAAAAAAAAAAAATATTAGCTTATCCCCTTCATAATGGTTTTACCTGCTCGTATTTTGTAAAAAAAAAAACCACACCAAAACACCCTGTATCCCATCAGTTTCCCTTTTTCTCTCCGCTTTATTACCTTAAACATCAAAATACTTTACAAGGTGATAGACTTTAGATCTTACATGTACTGTCCATAAGCCAGCTGAAAGAGAACATCCCTTGGCCTTCTCACATCAAATGTAAAGGAATCCACAAACATTTTTTTTAAAAAGCAGGATTATATTTTTCCTATGTAATAATTACATGAAATTAAAAAATATATATATATTAAAGGTTCTTCAATTTTTGGATTACAAAATTCAAGTAATTCATTTTGATAATTTTAGAGATGAGTAGATTAGAAAGTACAGATATAAAAAGATATGGTGATTAGCAATTATTAAGTATGTACTGAGCAATGGAGAATATCTTTACCAAAACATTTTTGCTATAAAATTACTAAGATATGCGTGCATGCATGTGTGCCTGGAAGTGTGCATGAGTAAAAAAAAAAATTACTAAGAAAAATTAAAAATCCAGTTATGTGCTGAGAAGTTACCCTCTGAACAAAGTTAATGAGTAAACTGGGAGGCCAGGGGTAAGAGCTGCCTGCAGAACATCTTGGTAAAGTAATTGAGAGTCTAGGCCCCCTAGTCAAACTTGTTAGGTGCATACAGTGGTTCCTTCACTTTCCAGCAGCGTATATCTGAGAAGTGACTTTTTTTTTTTAGTCAGAGTTTCACTCTGTTGCCCAGGCTGGAGTGTAATGGCACACTCCCGGCCACCACAGCCTCGACCTGCTGGGCTCAGGTGATCTTTCCTCAGCCTTCCAAGTAGCGGGAACTACAGGCATGCGCCACCATGCCCAGCTAGTTTTTCTTGATTTATTGTTATAGATGAAGTCTTACCAAGTTGCCCAGGTTCATCTTGAATCCCTGGGCTCAGGCAATCCTCTCACCTTGGCCTCCCAAAGTGCTAAGATTATATCTACTGCTCCTGGCTGAGTAGGTGACTTTAAGAGCCTGATTCCACATCTTAAAGAAGGGAAAAAGATGAAGGGAGGAACACTATAATGAATCTTTTTTTTTTTTTCAGAAGGGGACTCGCTGTGTTACCTAAGCTAGTCTTGAATTCCTGGGAGCAAGTGATCCTCTCGCCTCTACTTCAAAGTGCTGGGATTACAGGTGTGAGCCACAACATCCAGCCAAATTGTCTATCTTTAAGGAAATAAAACTTACAAATGCCTTTAGAGAGTTTTTAATTCCTTATTACAGTGTTCACTTTCCTAAAATTCTATTTTCTATTGTTTGCTAGAAACAGATTTCTTTCTTTCTTTCTTTTTTGAGTCAGAGTCTTACGCTGTTGCCCAGGCTGGAGTGAGTGGCACACTCACGGCCACCCCAGCGTCGACCTGCTGGGCTCTGGCGATCCTTCTGCCTCAGCCTTACAAGTAGCCGGAACTATAGGCGCACACTACCACACCCAGCTAATTTTTGATTTATTGTAGAGACGAGGTCTCACCAAGTTGCCCGGGCTGGTCTTGAATCCGCAGGCTCAGGCAATCTACTTGCCTCAGCTTCCCAAAGTGCTGGGATTACAGGCTGAGCCACTGAGCCCGGCCTAGAAACAGATTTCTAAGGAAAACTTTTATTTTACTCTATCAAATCCTTGAAGATATTTTCACATATATTTAAAGCTATCTTTATGTAAATTACAGACAACAAGAATAAAACTGTAGGATATGAAACTATTAATAAATCAGACAAGTCAGTTATATCACTGAACAATCCCACAATACACAGAAACCTATCTGGGACCAAGAGTCACCCTGTAAGGAGGAGCCACCAACTGGTTTTCCCTGACACTAAGTTTTGGCTCCCAAACAAAACCAGTCATAAGATACATTAGTAAGGTACCTTAGCAAGGTCTTGTTTTAGCTTGTTGTACTGCTCCACATCAAAATGCTGCTGCTTTGATTTCTTGTGGAAGAACTGAAGAAATTGCCTACTCTTAACAGCTGAGTAAGTATAATCCTTTTAAAAAGAAAAAGAAAATAACATTTTTTGAATGAACATAATGCCTCTGTTCCGCAAGAAAGAAACCTGGCAACACCCAAGCAAAGGAAGGCAGAAGAAAGTCAAATATTTGCAGCAGCCATCAGAGCAAGCACAAGCCAAACACTCAGTCTCACCTGATATCAGTCACTCCTTCCAAAAGCAAGCAAGTTGGGAAGAGAAATTACACATACAGGGAAAGAAGGAAGAAAGTAGAAAAGAGGGATTTTTGGCAGACTAACCACAAGACAAAGCCAAAGTTTCTGGGTGTTTTGCAATACAAATTCAGTTTTAGGGCACAGAGAACAGGAATTTGACATGTTTACCCTAATGGAGGAATTTGTATATTACACATTATTTCTCTATACAGATTATATATGGTATCTCTGTGTTATATGTAAGTCTCCATCCAGTCTTGTGAAAAACAATAAAAAATTTAACAGCTTATAAAAACCTAGATAGTATTAACTTAGTAAAGAGGCTTTTTGCTCATTGCTTGACCTGGATAAGGAATTCTTTGCACAGATGTTCTAACTTGTCATTTTCCTAACAAATTACTCACCTGCCGAGTGACTAAAAAGTATGCAAAAAAGACCATGGAATTTGCAAATGTGATGAAGTATGTAACTGGTTCCATGATATCCCAGGAGTAGACCCACCAGGTGAGCCAGGCCAGTGCCCCACCCTGAACAGACAGCAGTGCTAATCCAGCCCACAGGAGTCCGTAGGTTTTGGCTTCTGAGTGAGCTTCTATTCTAGCTTTCACCTGGGGAGGAAAGGGAGATGAAAAATGTTATTTTGGTTTGCAGGTGCACCAACTTGGGGGGAAAGCAAGAAGAAAAGGAACATTGGAACAAATACATATCTACATTACTTTAAAGAGGTTGAATATATGGAAAAACAATTTATTAAATGTATACATTAATAAGTAATTACTCATTTCCAAATCAGTTAATTAATAAATCTTTTAAAAACTGTAAAGATAGACTGGGCACAGTGGCTCATGTCTGTAATCCCAACACTTTTGGAAGCAGAAGTGAGAGGATTGCCTGAGCCCAAGAGTTTGAGACCAGCCTGGGCAACATGGTGAGACATCAGCTCTACAATTAAAACAAAAAAAAAAGCTGGGCATGGTGGCACGTGCCTGTAGCCCCAGCTACTTGGAAGGCTGAGGCAGGAGGATCGCTTGAGCCCAGCAGGTAGTTGTGAGCATGCTGCTGCACTCCAGCCTGGATGACAGAGTAAGACTCTGACTCAAAAAAGAAAAGAAAAGAAAAAAAATTGTAAAGGTAATATCTGCCCATGGGACACAGTATAGAAGGGTGTATAATGAAAAACTCACAAGTCACCCTCTGAAACCTAACTGAAATTAGAGGTCTATTTTCCTTGACTCAGCAATTCCATTTCTAGGATTTCATCCTACAAGTACTACTGCACATGTGTGATCCATTACTGATTAATTCTTCATAGCAAAAAAACCAAAAATAAGCCATATGTCAATCAAGATATTATGCAGCTGTAATGAGAAAGCTCTCTGTATCAATATGGAGAGATTTTCATGATACACTATTAGTGAAAAAAAGATGAGAATAGTGTATAAGTGTGCTCCCTTTTCTGAGAAAAGGAACAAAATAGGAACATATTTGTATTTGTACACAGATAAAGATAATCTGAAAGAATTAATAGATGTGAAGTAACTGGGAGGACAGGGTGGGAGAGAAACTATCCATTGGGTACCTTGTTAGATTTTAAAAACCTGAGCCAGGCACAGTGGCTTAGCTACTTGGGAGGCTGAGGTGGGAGGACTGCTTGAACCCAGGAGTTCGAGGCTGCAGTGAGACACGATCGTGCGACTGCATTCCAGCTTGGGTGACAGAGTGAGACCCTGTCTCTAAAGTAAGTAAATTAATTAATTAATTTAATTTTTGTAAATGTGTTAATTTTTTGAAGAAAAAAATTAAAATTCTAAAAAAACCCAAAACAAAAAAGTTCCTCTCTCTGCCATCCCCCAAATACCTTCAGAGATAGTAACTATTAAAACATTCTTACAGGTTGGGCATGGTGGCTCACGCCTGAAATCCCAGCACTTTGGGAGGCCGAGGTGAGAGGATTGCCTGAGCCGAGGTTTGAGAACAGCCTAAGCAGCTTGGTGAGACCTCATGTCTATAATAAATCTAAATATTAGCTGGGCATGATGGCGTATTCCTGTAATTCCAGCTACTTGGAAGGCTGAGGCTGAAGGATCACCTGTGCCCAGCAGGTCGAGGCTGCGTTGGTGGTAAGCATGCCACTGCACTCCAGCCTGGGTGACAGAGTAAGACTCCAACTCAAAACAAACAAACAAACAAACAAACAAACAAACAACAACAAAAATTCCTACAACTCCAGAAACTTTCTATTTATCTTTAAAGATAGACATATACTGGCCGGGTGTGGTGACTCATGCCTATAATCCCAGCACTTTGGGAGGCCGAGGTAAGAGGATTGCCTGAGCCCATGGGTTCCAGACCAGACTGGGCAACTTGGTGAGACCCCCATCTCTACAATAAAAAAATAAAAAATAAAAAAAAAAAATTAGCTGGGCGTGGTGGCCTATGCCTGTTGTTCCGTTTCTTCTTCTCAAAAAATGATGAAGACTATAGGACTGAACATATAAGCTTTTTGCAAAAATTAAAGGAGAAAATGAACATATGTAAAGCATTCAGGAAAATGTTCACGTGAGAAGCGCTCAGTAAATACTAGCTATCATTTTTCGAATAGACTCAACTGAGATGTTTCCTAACCTGTTCCAGAGGCTGCAGCTGTTCCTTCAGGTGGTCAATTTTCGCCAGTAAATGATGCTCTCTCTTTTTCTGAGATTCTTCTAGATGCAAGACTGTGAACAGTCTGTGAACTAAGGATTTCACATTTTTCATCTCGGCAGTGTCCTCATTACTCGACTTTCCTAACGACTTTCCTAAGAAAAGACACAAGGGAAACACAACACAGTCACCACGTTGTTTCCTCCAAGGTCTGTAAGTCCAGGGTACCAAATCTGAGTTCCCACATCTGGCCGCCTGAGCACTCCCAACTCCTAGGGAGGCATTTGGTATTGCCTTTTCTTCCTGTTTCAAATAATCCATTAGTCTCATATAAAGACAACCTGGAATCAAATAATTAGACAGCAGGTTTAAATTTTATTATATTTTTGTTTGTCTTTTCTTCTTTTGTAAAATGACTGTTACTGCTTCTTTTAAAAGAAGACTATCCACTACCAGAAGGCGGGCCTGACCTTAGCTTATGACATACTAGTTTATGGATTTACTTTTATGCCTAAATTCAATCTAAGATCCCTCTCCCTATCCCAAATTACCTTCTCAAAAATTATTTTAGGGTTTACAAGGGAAAGAAGCTGGTGTACAGACACGTATATAAAGGTATAATACACATTTGAAAAGCAGCTGAAGTGTATGTTATTTTCAACAAGAACAATTACAGTAAACAAACTGTACATCCAAGCTGGGTGCAGTGGTTCACACTTGTAATCCCACCACTTTGGAAGACAGAGGTGAAAGGGCTGCCTGAGTTCAAGGATTCAAGACCAGCCTGGGCAACCTGGCGAGATTTTGTCTCTACAGTAAAATAAAAAAGTTAGCCAGCGTGGTGGTGCCTGCCTGTAATTCCAGTTACTTGGAAGGCTGAGGTGGAAGGATTGCCTGAGCCCAACAGGCCAAGGTTGTGGTGGCTGTGAGCGTGCCACTGCACTCCAGCCTGGGTGACAGAGTGAGACTCTGACTAAAAAAAAAAAAAAAAAAAGTGTACATCTGAGGCTGGGCTCGATGGTTCAACCTGTAACCCCAGCACTTTGGGAGGCCAACGCAAGTGGATTGCCTGAGCTTGAGGGTTCGAGACCAGCCCTGGCAACTTGGCGAGGCCTCGGCTCAACAATAAATCAAAAAATTAGCTGGGTACGGTAGTGTGTGCCTGTAGTTCTGGCTACTTGGAAGGCTGAGGCAGAAGGATCGCCTGAGCCCAACAGGTCGATGCTGGGATGGCCATGAGTGTGTCACAGTATTCCAGCCTGGGCGATAGAGTGACTCCAAACTCAAAAAAAAAAAAGAAAAAAGAAAAGAAAAGAAAAAGTGTGTACATCTGAAAGGCAGTTCAGACACACAGTTGTAAAAAAAAGAAAAAGAAAAGATGGTGAGGGGAGTGTAGGGAATTAGAGATTAGAATATGCTGCCACAAAATATGGTACTTTGGCATAAGAATTATTTTGAGCTGAAGACAACTGAGAAGAAGCAGATAGAGGGAAAGCTCTCGGGCCACCTTCTATTTGCCCAAAAGCAAAACACAAACTTTTTTTTTTAGTTGGAGTCTCACTCCATCACCCAGGCTGAAGGGCAGTGGCACACTCACGGCCATCCCAGCGTCGACCTGCTGGGCTCCAGCGATCCTTCTGTCTTAGCCTTCCAAGTATCTGGAACTACAGGTATGCACTACTGTACACAGCTAATTTTTTGATTTATTGTAGAGATGAGGTCTCGCCAAGTTGCCTGGGTTGGTCTTGAACCCACAGGCTCAGGCAACCCATTCGCCTCGCCCTCCCAAAAGTGCTGGGATACAGGCTGAGCTACCAAGCCTGGCCTAGCAAGACACAAATTTACACAGGCCTCTCCACCAGGAAGAATAAAGGTGGATCACCAGAGACAACCTTAGATCCTACTAGCTTGGAGATGGTATCAGAGGAATCTACATGACAAACTTTACTAGCTTTTATCTACCACTGACTAACCCATTTGCCTTCCCACAATTTGCCACCCTTAGTGACTCAAGGCCCTTTTCCCTGGTCTTGTCACTTCTCCAAAAATTCATTGTTCTTTGTTAAGGATGCTCTATCATCGGAGGATGCTCTATCACCAGAATGCTCTAACACCAGCTTAATTCTAAGCTACCTCTTGAGAATTACTCACTCCCTGGATATCCCATATGTATATGAAATACATACATTAATAAACTACTAGTTTTCTCTTGTTCTCTGTTTTTTGTTACAGGGTCCATCCAAGCTAAGAACTAAGGGTAGAGGGAGATTTATTTTTTCAATCCCTATAAGAGTCACAGATTCAGAATTTTCAGAATCAATCTCTGTTGCCCAGGCTGGAGTGCAGTAGCACAATCATAGCTCACTGCAGCTTCAAACTCCTGGGCTTAAGCAATCCTCCAGCCTCAGTCTCATGAGTAGCTGGGACTATAAGTGCACACCATCATACCCGGCTAATTTTCTGATTTTTGGAAGGACAAGGTCTCACTATGTTGCCCAGGCTGGTCTCAGACTCCTGGGCTCAAGCAGTCCTCCCTCCTTGGCCTCCCAAAGTGCTTTGATTATAGGTGTGAACCACCACACCCAGCCAATATAAGGTTCTTTCGATTATGGATTCTTTCACCCTTCCTCCTCTGTGAGTTTATAAATTGACATAAAATTAGGCTGTAAGGCTGGGCTCGGTGGCTCAGCCTGTAATCCCAGCACTTTAGAAAGCTAAGGTGAGTGGATTGCCTGAGCCCGTGGGCAACTTGGCAAGACCTGTCTCTACAATAAATAAAAAATTAGTGGGATGTGGTAGCAAGCACCTGTCGTTCTGGCTACTTGGAAGGCTGAGGCGGAAGGATTGCCGGAGCCCAGCAAGTTGATGCTGGGATGGCCGTGAGTGTGCCACCACACTCCATCAGCCTGGGAGATGGAGTGAGACTCCAACTCAAAAAAAAAAAAAAAATTAGGTTGTAATAATACCTCTCTGAAGGTTATAATTGTTCATCATCCTTGTAAGAGATGAGGAAGGGGGACAAGGTGAGAGGAAGGGAAGATGGATTTTCCCCCAGCAGCAAACACCAACTGCACACAATGTCTACAGCCAGTATCAGCTCAGTGATTTTCCAGTTCATGCCTGTATTCCTGATGTTATTTTTTTTTTCCATTATCATTCAAGACTTTTGTGTAGTCTTTAATCCCTTCCACATTCTAAGCTAAAGCTGCCATAGAAGAGAACTCCTAGTTGGAGTTCCGTTTTGGGCTTTGGTTTTTGAAATCCGAAAATGTATCGATATATAAAGATCTACACACAGAGGAAAGGCAGAGATGAGGCACAATTTTGTCAAAAGTTGTAAAGTATAACAAAGATAGACAAAGCTGGACACTAACACAGTAAGAGTACATCTTATTTATAACTATTGCAGTAGGGAAGAGGGCCTAGCATTACTGGAACTCAACTTTGATTTGTGCAGAGGTAGTTGGGCATTTTTTTTTTTTTTTTTTGAGTTGGAGTCTCACTCTGTCGCCCAGACTGGAGTGCAATGGCCGCTCCCGGCCACCGCAGCCTCGACCTGCTGGACTCCGGTGATCCTTCCGCCTCAGCCTTCCAAGTAGCCGGAATTACAGGCATGCACTACCACGCCCGGCTGATTTTTTTGACTTATTGTAGAGATGAGGTCTTGCTGCCCAGGCAGGTCTCAAACCCGCAGGCTCAGGCAATCCCTTCACCTCAGCCTCCCAAAGGCGCAGGAATACAGGCTGAGCCACTGAGCCCGGCTATGGCTGGGCATTTTAAAGGGAGTATGAGAGAATAGGGTCTTCAACACAGTCAGGAGGGGGAAAATCTTCAAAAAGTGGGAAGGGAAGTTGGTTAACGTGACTGGACCATCTGGGTTTGTTAACTGGCACTTATCCGGAGGAGAAACAAACTTCTTGTATCTCATGACAGGATGCACTGACGCAGGTTAGAGCAGAATACCCACTGTTAAGAGTGACAGAATTGTACTCCACATCTTAAAAAAAAAAAAAAGGAAAGAAAGAGTGACAGTGAGAGTAATGGCCTTAAATGTTATCATTTCTAAAAGAGACCTTCAATTACTTGAGAAGATAGGTCTGGGTCACAAAAGATTTCCATCTCAAAGGGGGAAAGAAAGTTTACAATTGAAAACATACTAAAGTCACTGCTTGTGTTAGTCCGTTTTGTGCTGTTATAACAAAATACCACAGACTGGGTAACTTATAAATAACAGAAATTTATTTCCTTATATCTCTGGAGGCTGAGAAGTCTAAGATCAAAGTACCAGCACCTGGTGAAGGGCCTTCTTGCTGTGTCATAGCATGGCAGAAGGCATCACATGAGTGAGAGAACAAGAGGAGGCTGAACTCATCCATTCCAAGACAATGAACACACTTCCATGATCATGGCATTCATCCATTCATATAGGTCGTTATGACTTACACATGTCTTAAAGGTCCCACCTGCCAACACCTCTGCACTGGGGATCAAGTTTCCAATTCATAATCTTTGAGGGACACATTCAAACAATAACATTCTGTCCCTGGTCTCCAAAATTCACGTCCTTCTCACACGCAAAATGCATTCACTCCATCCCAATAGCCCCAAAGTTTTAACTAATTCTAGCATTAACTCAAAAACCCAAGTCTAATAATGTCTCATCTAAATCAGACATGGGTGATACTCAAGGCACAATTCATTCTAAGGCAAATTTCCCTTCAGTTTTGAGCCCGCAAAATCAAACAAGTTTTCTACTTCTAAAATACAGTGGTGCGACAGGCATAGGATAGACATTCCCACTGCAAAAGACAGAAATAGGCAAGAAAAAAGATATAACTAACTGGTCCTAAGTAAGTTCAAAACCCAACGGGGAAAAATAAAACTAAATCTTAAGACTCCAGAATAATCTTTGACTCCATGTGCCACCTTCTGGACACCTGGGGCAGAGGTTGGGCCCTCAAGGTCTTGGGCAGCCCTGTTCTCATGGCTTTGCAGGGCTCAGCCCATGCAACACTTGCACAGGTTGAATTCTCATGCCTGAAGCTCTCCCAGGCTGGTGTTGTATGCTGGTAGCTCTCTACAGTTCTGGGGTCTCAGGGGCAGTTGTGAATTTTCCAAATCTTTACATTCTGCTTCCCTTTGAACTATAAATTTT